CAACGGCTCGCAAATCACAAGCTGACAATGCCACTTGCCCTGCCGAACCCCGAACATCTTCAGCCTACTGGTTCTTAGTAGGGAATAAGGGAATGTATTGTAAAGGGATTATGCAAGGATTAGGTAGGTATATGTCCTTATTCCCTACGAAGAGGTTTGGGACTGACCTTCCAGGCTGCACGCATCTCATAAAGCCAATGTTTGATGGCGTTGATAGCTTGAGGCTACACCTGAGGCACGCGCTCCCTGGATGAGTTCGCTTCCATTAAAACCATTAATACAAATCCCAATGCGAGTCGCAGCACCTGTCGCCCAACTACTGTAAACTGCCAACGACTCTGACCCTCATGTCAGGCCTTTCAAAAAACACCTCGGCAATCATGTGTCGAACAACCCGCTGGCCGCAGCGGCATGTCCTTGCCTCAAGTGCTACAAACATGTCACGCGCAATGCGAAGCACATCGAAACCTTGAACGAACCTGCTGGCAAGGTGCAGCATCAGGTCCGAGAGCATCATGGTCGCGGAGAGTTGGCATGCTACAAGAAGTCTCCGCGGGAGGACACCGGAGGGAGGGAGGCAGGGAGGGAGTCTCTGCAACGCAAAGCCGTAGTTGGTATCTCCTATCCATATATACAGTACGCCTGTTATGTATCTTGCGCGCTGTGATGAGCCGAAAACCAGGGCACGAATCGGTCTCACCATGCAAACAGAACAGATGCCCGCTTTACTTACTGGGGCTTAGTAGAAAACAAGGGAATACATGAATTGAGGAAATTTCAAAAAATGATCTAACCTTCCTACGGCAGATCTCTCAAGGTATTCTGAGGTGCTGCTGGCGCACATTAACGTTGGGACAGGCAAGCCTCGCAGTGAAGGATTGGGACTTGCGGGTGCGCTGCTGGGGGTTTGGATACCCTGAGCAAGCCTCTACAAAAATTTGGGGATCATAAAGTGGGGAACACTTGGCTAGCCTCGGCACTTTGATGTCCTTCCCCATGTCTTTGAATTCTTGTTTCCCCAGGAATGACTGATCATAAGCAAGTCACTTAATGCCAGTTCTACATACACTTACTGCCTTCATTCAATTCTGCTACTATTGAATTTGTCTCGTCATGTCTCATGACGTGTTCTGATGGAGTCATGTCCTGCTAGATCGAGATGCTTGCTCCAAGAAACGCGGGTCTGTGCAAGCTATCCCTCCTCAGAACGCGCATGGGGGGAAGTCCATGATTCTTTTGACGCAGAATTGAAGTCTTCAGATTCAGTGCACTCCGCCTCGGGGACTACTATGGCATCTGTAGCGCCACCCAACGTCTTGTTGCGACGTCTGATGCTGATTTGAGTGTGTTTCAATGATTCTTCTGTCGCTGGGCGCAGCCCGAGAGGCGGAAGTTCTATAGGATGCCTTGTGAAACCTCGTATCTCCTCTGCACTCGGTTGTCCCATCCTGCTTGATGACATGTTCTGGTGGACTCATGCGCAGCTAGATCGAGCTGTTTGCTCCATGGCTCTGGGTGAAATCAGAGATCTGCATGGATCGACTGCAGCAAGTGAAGCCTTGTTAGCAGTTCTGGAAGCAGCATGGCGGAATGCATTTTTTGCGAAAGGTTTAGGCTACGCCTCTTTGTAACCAAACGGCTTGCACTTTGCAGTTGTCCTTTGCTGCATATTCGCTTGCTGCGCAAAGCCGTTTCAGCATCACGCAAGGCTGCGAACGCAGCATCCTGGAAGAGGGTTGACAGCAACGCCGAGGTGAGATCTGGACTTGTGCCAAGAACACCCACAGCCCAAAGCCACGCATGGCGGCACAATGGTCTAGAAGAAGTCTTGGATTCATAATTACAGCTCGTGAGTGTCACGTGGCCTGTCATGCTGACATGAGGAGATCTTGAGCGAGGTTTGCAAATTATTCAGGCTTAAAGGCCCGAGGGCTCAACGAACGAGAGCTCCACCCTCGTTTCAGCAATCGTTGGGGTCCCACGGCTTCAAGACCTGGCAAAATGTCTCAGCGTGGCAAAAAAACCCTGAGGTTCTAGACTGCATGATGTCTCCTGCTGTCTTCCTCTCTGGGCCAACACAGAACGAATATCTTAGATAAGGGAACGTACGATGCGCGGTCCGGAAAGCCCCACCTTGCCATTTGGGAGGGTGCATGGAGCCAGCCTCAGAATCACAAGGCTGGGAAAGCTTGACCCGAGACCTTCACAACCAATGTGGAACGGGCAGCCAACACAAAATCTTGTCCAAGCTATGGCAAGAGTCTCTTGACAGCGTGGAAAAGGTACGACTGACATGCAAACGAAAGTAGAACTCTGGATGCCATCTGAGCCCTGAAACCTTAAACTGTAGACCCTAGCCGGTAAATCGAAGGAGGACAGTTTGGTCTTGCCTCGGCGTAGACTCCAACGAGCGCATCATAGTGTGGCATAGCCTGGAGCATATCGCACATTGCACAAAGACACATCGAAGAAACAAATAACTCAAGAGCCATGGAGCTTGGGGCGTCGCAGATGCGACAAAGCTTCTAGGCTTCGGGTTTGAAATTTGTTGAGCGGACTCGAGTCAAACTCGAGTAAAGTTCAGAGTGTAATCTGGAATGCCTGAATGAGACCAGAAGTGTGATAGACATGTGGGTGAAGAATGGCCCATGACAAAGCATAGCAAAGAAGGACTAGGGCCAACGCATGAGAGATGTGCAGATGTACAATGTGAGCAGAAGTGTTGGGGGCCCCTCCCCCGCCCTCTCGCTCGAACTCCCGCCCGCGCCCCCACTCACCCTCCCACGCACACTCCGGCGCGCTCCCCCCGTCCACAATGGCTTACCCACGCAAAAATCGAACCTTCCCCCACAATCGCACTCCCGCTCAGGCTCACCCTCACGCCCAAACCTGCCTCATAAAAGACTGTCAACATGTTACTCGCACCAAATCCACAGTCCGGATCACACTTCAAACCATGTCATGTGTTCATCATTCCTCAAGGCTGGTGCTGGACGTGGCCCAGCTGTGAAACCTCAAGATCCTCTGCAAACAAGCTGGGGTCAGGGCTAAAATTCTGGCAACAATCCTATTGCTGTAACCTACTGCTGCTGCTACTACTGCTCTACTACTACTACTACTACTACTCCTACTACTGCTCATCTTGAGGTCCAGGCTCTCGCTTCTTTGGCGGTGGCACCTTCATGGAATGAGTCTGAGATCGAATGCGAAGCTCAATGCGAATGAGGGCCCAACAGGATCAAATAAGCGGCGAATTGTGTATGTCCCCGGCCCCGGCCCAGGTCCTGCGCATCCAAACCAGCAAGGCTGCACAAACCAATCAAAAAAAATCATGTCCAGAGGGCGTGCTTCTTACAGTACTTTGCAGCTCTGCCTCCTCCGCGGGGCTGTCCAAATCGAGAGGAAGAGGAGCCGAACCCCTGAGCTCAAACGTTTTGGTGAAAGGCCACTTAGAACAGAGCGAGCCCACGCGACGGCCAATGGTCCGCGGAATGGGATCCTTTCAGAACGAAGCGATTCCAAGTCAAAAGCGAGTCCTGATCTTTTTGAACTGCGAAGCGACTCGAAGCATTTGCAAAATTGCAGGATTTGTTTTAGGGTGGCGACCGCGACACACTTGCGAACACACCCCAATCCTTTGCGCGGCCATTTTCACATGCTCAAGCAAGCCTGTTGTTCCAGTCCCGACCCGCTGATCCCCAACACTTACCACTAGCATACTTCTGCTGCACTTATGGGATAAATCAGTGCTCTCAGCTACTCTGAGGTGCTGGCCAGGCGGGTGGTAGTTCCATCACGGGTGCCTCAGACAGACTTCAGGGTTGCCAAGCTGGCTTTTCGAGCCTGAGGATGTCACACCATTCGGACCTGATAACTTTCAGCCGCACACCGACAAAAACCTGATACGAGACCACTCTTCGGATTGACCTGGTGCCCCGGCAGAAATCTCCACCCAAAGTGCCCCTCAAGCTGCTTCAGCAGCAGAGTACCCACAAAGTGATTGTCAGCATCCTTCCGTAAGATCCCCAGCACAACAATAAACAAGTAAATGCTGGGGAGGCAGACCGAAGGTGGCAGAATTCTTTAAATCAGCGCCGCCCCTGGCAAGTCCACAGCGATAAACCATTTTTCTCGATGAGCATGAGGCTAAAGCCTAACACGTCTTGATGTTTCGCCTGCAGAGCTACAAAACCACTACACCCCTAACTCACAATCAAGACATATTAATGAAAACCCCGTCAATATCCACAACAAATCAATCACTCTTTAGCTGGCAAATGAGCCAAAGCGGCTCACGGTCCAACCTTGCTTCGTATTTGGCTCTCCTTGGCTGGGCGAAGCATGGGTCAACGCTTGCGGAGTCTGGTCATGACAGTCTCAGCTCATACAAGACCTCTTCACGTCTCCTGGGCAACCTAGCAGAGGACAGATGGCGCTACCCCAAAATCACATCTTTCAAAAACCTGACCCTACGCGCAGCAAGCTGACAGTCGACGGTTTCATGCTGAGGACTCAACAAAGCCAGGTCAACGTTAGCCGTCAAGGTGTACTTGGGCAAGTTGGGCTTGAAAGCCTCGGGTAGCGCCAGATCTTCAACACGCAACATCTGGGTAAAGGCTTAGATGGGAGGCGTCATCTACAAACCTGTCAAGTTCAAGCCTGGGGGTCAGGAAACGGTTAAGCTGTTTCCGCAGCCAGTGGCAAGACCACCAGGTGCGGACGTTGAAGATCAGCAGTCAGCATGCCTCGGAGGCAGGTGAGATTCCCGGTCCCCACTGGTTCAATGCTTGACAACATGCTGCTTGCAGAGCGATGCTTTTAACCAGCGCGCAGAGGCAGAGGCGGCTTAGATTCACAGTGATACTGCAGCATCTTGGGCTACGAAGAGATGGTCTCAAGCCATCTGAACAGCCAAAGCTGTTGACGATTGATGGATGGAAGTGCAGGGGTCCTCACAAGGTGCTACGATGGTCTGGATGAGGGCCCCTGGCAAGACGTATTCAGGCATCCATTGAGTCATTGTAGGTAGAATCGCTGCGGATGCGCTTGCAAGGGCTATCCAATGATTGCCTGTGCCCCATAGCCTTGAGAGCACGCTTTGATGGTCCGAGTTCTCTGATGGCTCCCTGAACATCTGCGTCGTTGATGAAAGCTTGTGCAGCCGCATACCGTGTCTCGCCTGTATAAGATTTTGCCCAACCTCGGATCTTGAGCTCCACATCTGTGCCAGCAGCAGTGAATTCCAGAAACTTGCCAGCAAAGCCAGGATTGAGCCGCCTCAGCCGAACAAAAACAACAGGCGCTGGGTACCAGGGTACCGCTACACTCACACAAAACGTCAAGCCGACTGAGCAGAGCGCCGAGCAAGATCATTGGCGGCATTAATGGCACGGCCCTCATGCTCATCCTTCTCGGGCTTCGGCATTCAAGAAGATATCACTACTGCGCGCAACACTATCGTACCTCACTGATGTGTCATGATGAATCTGTGGATGCCATCTGTTACACCATTCACTCTCTGGAATTGAGCCAACTAGCACGCGCCAGGAGTGGAAGCAACGCACTTCTCACGATCTATCTAAAAGCTATAAAAACTTATCTTTCTGTTTGAGATTTCGGGGCTTCTCGGTTTTATGGCTTGGCTCTCTCGTGGCATCGCAGCTTCACAACTTTCGTTTGAAGGCAATGTACACCAGCAGCTGTTGTGTGGAATCCCTTTGCCGCTTGCCATGGTCCTCCGTAAGAATGCAGCCGAGTCTCCTTCTCACGGCCGAGGAGAACAGGTCCCATCCTGCACTGTTTGGCGCTGCGTGTCAATTGGTGTCTTTTCCATTCGATCTGCCACACGCATGACTGGACCCTGTACTTCCTCCTACCCTTGCCACTCGCTAAACATCATGGGCACGCCACAGAAGTTGAAACTGCCTCCACTACAAAGTGTTCAGGTCAGGCCTCGACATTGCGCGGTCGCCGCCGAAGCAACAGCTTTGGGAAACGCTGGGCTTTCAAGCTTGACTGACTGCGGGCGCTATAGCATTATTCGCTATGCTGGAGATGGGGCCTGTCGGAATGCATTCTTGCAACAGATGTAGCCCTTGCAACCAAACAGTTCTACACTGTGCACCGCCAGATTTTTTGCATTCTTGCTTGGAGCGCAGAGAAATGTTCGGCATCATGCAAGGCTGCAAACGCAGCATCCTGAAAGAGGGTTGACAGCAACCCTGGGATTTCTGGGATGAAATAGAATCTGGACTTGTGCCAAGACCCAAGACCACAGCCACCCATGGCGGCAATGCTCTGGGTTGCTTAAATTAAGCTACCATTATACTGTGGGTATATAGGAAATAACAGGAGTTCCTTGTTGTTCCTTTTTGTAGCGACTTATCTTAAGGTCTGTAGCAGCAACCCAGTAGTGGTCTGGAAGGTGGTCTCAGAATTGATTGCAGCAAGCTGGTGACTGTCACGTAGCCTGAGATGCTGACATGTCCAAGAATATGTTTGGAAACCGCACGCTAAACCCTAAACCCCTACAGGTTTAGGGTTTAGGGAATAGGGCTTAGGGTTAAAAACCCTAAACCCTCACCCCTAACCCTTAAACCCTCAAACCTCACTGGTCCAAAGGCCCAAAGCCAAAGGCCCAGGCCCGCTGAGGCCGTGGAGCCCGCACAGTGCTTCGACCGCTGCGCGATGCATTGGCCTGGCCATGAAAGGAGTCTCTCAAAATAGGGGATTTGGTAGGGAATTGAAGGCTATACAGGGGTCACCATGGGAGTATACGGGGTCCTTATTGAAGGTTTTATATGAGGTTTATTTTGAGAACTGCCCATGCTCCACCGGACTTGCCTGTCCACGCAAATCCGCTGCCTGGCAGAACTGCCGCAGGCTAACCGAATCCCCAAATCCCAAGCCCCATTCATTGCATGGCTCTGCCTCTTTCACCGCAGGTGGTGAATGGACAGGCTTCAGCTCGAAATCTCTGCGGCTCAGTCTAACTAGGCCTCCCTGCCTGCACGGACGACTTCATCAAACTGTCGGCTGATTTTTGCAAGGGTCGAGAGCGCTTCGGGATGGGCAAGAACCTCAGCTACCGCACGTCCTTGAATGCCAAGCCAGTACTCTTCACATCACCGCTTTGAGATCTCTGACGGAGTTGGCTTGCCCTGCTTGCCCCCTTCCTGACCTGACAGGACATGCCCACTTCGTTGAGGATGCGGTGCTCTCGTGACACCCGAAGCCTGTGCAAACGATCGGCGCCACACACTTAGCTGTTGGCTCTTCCTGCTTTCAGAAATCAGCCACAGACGGAAAGCTCAACCTCCTCATCCTTGCGGCAGGCCTTCACGCTTTCTGGCTCGCAAGGTCTGGAGGTCTGACCGCAGCTCTCATTCCTCAGGAAAAAAGGGTCGCAACAGCGAAGTGTGAGTGGAAATGCATACATGGTCTCGCCGTGAGACCGACCCTTGTGCAAGGCCATGAGCAGCATGCCGGCGCAACGCACTTCTGCTAAGCTTGAAACTTGCTTTGGTTGCCTAGTTTGCCCTCCTACACACATGCTGAGGCCACGAGGTGGGGATATACCTTAAAATAAGACACCCTGACAGAATCTTTACGATATCAGAACCAACTGCAAGCACCCACCTTAAACCCCGGTACCATATAACCCCCGAAAAAACACATATCATCCCCAATATCCCCCATATAATTGTCCCCAATATACTCAAATTTACAAGCCCAAAAGATCCTACCCAACCCTATTTTGAAGGTATGCTCCCAGCCTGACTAACGATGAGTAGCCACCAGCATTTTCCTGCTCCATCCGGGAGGTTTCTAGGTTACGTAGGGAACGCCGCCTAGGGTTTAGGGTTTAGGTCTTAGGGTTCTGTCTACATTCATACGGGAGGAGGGACATCCGCAGACCAGGATGAATTCTCAAGTATGGCCCCTAAAAACCCTAAGCCCTAAACCCTGAACCCACGCCCTAAAGCCAAAACCCTAACCCTCATGCAGCCCCAAATCCTAGGTAGGGGAGGCAGCAAATACCCACATGAGCTACAGTCCATTTTTCCAATATCGCTAAGAGACATGGGTGGTTCAGGGTTTAGGGTTTGATTAAATGTGCTAGGGACACTCCCAGGATTTAGGGATTAGATCTTAGGGTTCATAGTCCCTTGGTCACCTTAAGTAGGCGTATGGCTCGAATAAACGAGCGAGCGAATGTACCACTGTCTCTGGAGCAGGTTGGCCCCATCAGAGTGTCCTTTTGTCATTGGACTTTGGGATGGCGGTAGACTTACTGGGGCATATATATATATATATACATATACATATATATATATATCCCTAGAATGGGACCTATATTCACTCCCCTGCTCCCCCTGAAGCACCGGGAGGCAACGGGGTGACCTCCACTCTGAATCCTGAACCGCCCAACCACAAAAAGCAAGGCCCTCAATGCCATGATACCCCAAAAAACAGACCCTAAATCCTAAACCCGAAACCAAAAACAATACAGCATGTTCAATGTGCTTTTGTCCATTCCCCTGTGTATCTCTGTATAATCCCGAAGTCAAAGCAAGTAGTAAGCCGGCCTGGATGAGCTCAGTCGTATGACCCTTGTCATCTTCCTATCCAGTGGTTAGGGTTTAGGAGTTTAGGGTTTAGGGTTGCACCCCTTTCGAAGGGCCCTCCAAACACGATCCTGCCTACCTCGGAGCGAATGCAGCCGGAACTGGGTATGCTCTATGCGTCCTCTGTTTTTCTGGGGCTTGATAAGCAATAAGCGAAGAAAATATATAGGGACTACATAGGGATTATACTCCCTTATCCCCTACTAACCACCAGTCAGGTATACTTTCAAGCAAAAATGCACGGTTTTTGGGCAGTTCAAAGGCCTCTTGCTTTCGAAGGTGCTCCGGACCGGAGTCGAATGCCTGCGGTTAAGGTTTAGGGGTACAGGGGTTCCAGGGTTTTAGGGTTCTAGGGTTTTAGGGTTGAGAGTTAAGGGTTTCAGTTTTAGAGTTCAAGGTTCAGGGTTGAGGGTCAATTTGGGGGGGGAATCTCACCCTTGGGCACCCAAGTATGTTGGGAAATCCTGAAACCCCAAACCAGGCAATTTCCCTACGGGTCCCTATATAGTCCTGCGCGCTCCCATATATCCCTATGTATCTCTTGGAAATACATGTGCCCGTTCATAACCCTACATATCTCAATTCTAGAATAGGAGGCAAGCTTGGACTGAGCTCTCGGCCGCATACTGGCACGCTCCCATGTTCAGAACCCTTGAGGACCAGTGTTAATGTACTGCGCGCTGCATAAGCTAGTGCATGATGCCATTGAACCCTCGAGCTCATGGTTTTGCTGTGGTTGCACCCCCTGCACTTACCATACTCCCATCCTTTCCTGGTGCCAAACTGCATGAGCGCCAGGCAGAGAACAGCTTTGCATGCGTGTCTTTTGCTGCGGCAGCTACGATACGCACTGGCATCAGCACATCAACATTGAATCTACCACCATATACTAAACAAACTCTAGAAGAAAATAAATAGCATACCACACTATGTATTGTAATATATACCAGAATGGATTATGACACACAACTTGCGGCTCCTTTTGCTGAGTGGGCGGGTCTATCAACTGCAATTGCCGTACTGGTACTTAAGAAGAGTGAAGGAGAGGATCCCTATACAATTCCTATATATATATATATGTATATATATATATATATGTATATTTACTTATTTGTTTATATACCCCTATAATGGTACCTATATTCACTCCCCCACCCTAAACCCTAAAATTGTACCTGTATGTACCTAGATTTACTCCCCACTCCCCCTTAAGCACCTGTAGGTTGCGGTACTATCGCTTGAGCATCTCTCGGATGCGACCTGTCTCCTTGATGCCATTGGCATAATCCTCAGCCCAATGGATCTGCGATTCTTTGCTGAGAGCTGCGGCATCTACAACCCCCCCCCCAATTCAAACCCAAACTCTAAATCTTAAACCCTAAAACCTAAATCCTAAACCCTAAAACCTAAATCCTAAACCCTGAATCCAAAGCCCTAAACCTCAAACCAAAAATCCCAAATTCTAAATCCTAAACCTTGAATCCCAAACCCTACACTCTAAGAGACAGGTGTCCGACTCGTTAGTGAGGGCGATTTGCGAGCCTTGGTACAGCAATCCATTGCTCTGACCGCGATGGAATTTAGGGTTTAAGGTTAAGGATTCAGGGTTTTAGATTTAGGATTCAGGGTTTAAGGTTTAGGATTCAGGGTTTAAGGTTTAGGGTTCAGGGTTTAGGTTTTGGGTTTAAGCCATGGAGAATCAAATGGGAAAGAGGATGGAAAATGAGATGGAAGCTACAATATACAGGGAATGTAACTCCAAAAAAAGGTAATCAAACGGAAATTGGAAAATGAAATGGAAAACAAGGTGGGGGGAGGTGGGTTTTGGGCTCATAGTTGAGGCCGCGGCCCAGCCACAAGTCCAACTTCTCAGTCTTGGCATTGTCCTGGCGGTTGGCGTCGAACTTCTTCTTTCGAGACCTGTCTTTCAGGGTTTGTGGTTTGGGGTGTAGGGCTTAAGGGTATAGGATGTAAGTCCCAACATGATGGAATCTGCAATAGGAACCCACCTGAGCTTTTCTGTGGCTTCAAACTAGCTTGCTGCTCAACGTTTAAGGCAGGAAAAGTCAGCTCCTAGGTTTAGCAGCCATCTGTGATCCTAGAAAGAATTTGCTTGGGACATTTACCTGGTGAGTCAAGACGTGGCAGCTGCTCTTTTCCAAGATCTTGTCAACCATGCTGCCTTTTTTCACTCCCGTATCAAGCTCCTGTGCATGATCCGTCCTCTTATGCTGGTCTCACAGCACAGCAAGATGGCTCTGCAGTTCGACGGTCCTTCTCCTCCTTGGAGTTCTCACAATAGGTTTTGCATGCCTGGACAGCAAGGCAAGAAGGAACCGTTTGTGAAACAACTCATGAGACAGCTGGCCTTCTGGCAATAATCCTCATTGTTGGGTGCCCTTTCATTGCAGATGGCAAGACCTGAGTAGGGCGCCATGTGTCTTAACGTGACAGCAGCTCACATTGTTGAGAGCCCGGCATTTGTAGCTACAGATGGAGTCATACCTAGCCTGCATAGGACCATCAGATTCTGGCCCAAGAGGTGAAGTGCACCTCAGCCCGTGACATCCCGCAGTGCCATCGCCTCATCTTCCTGCAAAAGATGTGGCTGGCCTACGGTTCATTTCACATGAGCTGCGCTCTCTTGCCTGTAAGGCCGCAGCAAATCCCAGTGCTGCCAGCATCTCCTGTAAGCCGGAAAGTAAGTTAGCAACACACTATTATTATTGTTGTTATTATTAGTATTGTTATTATTATTGTTATTATTATTACTGTTATCACTATTTTTACTGTTATTACTATTATTATTATTATCATTATTGATTATGGGAGCTTGCTGGAAGCCGAGGAGCTCTGCGTGGCACAGGTTTGCGCGTAGGCGTAGACTCGGCCTCCGTGATGAAAAGAAGTCTTGCACGGACTTCCGAAACCTCTGGAGCACCGCACTTTGCCGGTGGTCGCCAAGAAGGCCGTCGCAGTCCTGAGCCAATCTGGGGCACCCATAATGATAGCCTACAATTACACCCATTAGTTTAGGGGGTTAAAGGCCATTATCATGGGTTATTACTATTACCATTGCTACCATTGCTACTGTTCTTACTCAGGGTATGTGAGCAAACTTCCATCGAGCTGTCCTCAGCACGGCCCAAGCCAACAAGGCAGCCGCAGCATGGAGAAGAAGGGGTGAAATCGCTGAGCGGCGGCGCTCCGCGGCAGGCTTCGCAGCCATCGCAACCAGCAAGTGGGAGAAAGTCAGCTTACTCGTACAATCCCTCGTGACCCATATTCCTTAATTCCTTTCAAAACACAAGTAAGTCAGTGGCTCTGGTTTGTGCAAATGTTACGCCTGTCAGATGTTGAAAACATTTTATCGGCTGACAGCAGATGCGCATGTCTTGTTACAGCTCCATTCGTCTGCATCCTGCTCCTTAGCTCTGAGCAGCATCTCCAAGAAACCCCAATAGGAGCAAGTTCTGACACTTACTGGCGGTTAGTAAGGAATAAGGGAAAGGATTCTATAGGGATTATGTCGGGACTATATATGAGGATTCTATTCCCTTATTCCCTACTAAGAACCAGTAAGGATAGGTGCTCAGGGAGTACGAAGGCCTTTCTCACAAAGCAAGCGAGGAACTTACTGGTGGCTGTAGCAGGGCATGGAGGAATGGATCCCAGATGAGCTATAGTCTCAACTCCTAGCATCCCCCTTAATTAATAACCTCTATAATTGTCCCCTATAACCCCCTATAAAGCCCCTGTAAGGAGTGTAGACTATAGCTCAGCTATGCTCAGTTAATCCTCACCAATTAATAGCTCCAGTCCTTCATCCCCTACTAACCACCGGTAAGGAAGGTCGCGATGATTCGCGGGTCTTGGTCTGGCCTTGACACAGCCGAGCTTGGCTCTTCCAATTCGAAGAAGCCGGCTCTTCGAATTCTTTCTGTGCCATCTCTGTGAGGCACGAATACCATAGGGACGGCCGCTGTGCGACAGGCTGCAGGGGAGGGGACCAACTCAAGAAGCTTTTTGTTGAGTCGTCTCTTGGTAGGTGCAGCCTGCATAGGTGTTGGTCGTGCCCATGCTTTGGGTTGAATTGTACATACATGCAAACTTTGAATTGCAAGTGTTGGCCAACAGTCTGTTCCAGCTGCTTGCATCGAGTACTAGAGCCGGCTTCAGTTGTTTGCCAGTGGCCAGATTGAGAAGAAGGTCGGTAAGCATGACTGAGCCGTGAGGCAACACAAACCAAGGCATTCCCAAAACTTGAGGATGTGTAGAGCCTATGCCCTCTCAGCAATAGAAGTCACATGCCCGCGAGCGCCAGTGAATCGCAACGCATGGGGCGGTGCTCACTGATCTCGACGCTGCCTTCACGTGCTCAGTCATCAAAACCATGAGAATTCTCTTACTTGCAGCGATAGGTCCCCACTACGACCATTCTTCTGGTACCATCCGAGGCCATTCCCGGACTTAGCCGGGCAAAAAGAGATCCTGGATTTGCCTTCTACTTTCATCGGAAGAGGGGAAGGCATGGGATAACAAAAAAGTTAAATGTGACTAGACAAATGACACTAAACATGCTAGCTGCGTTTCGTAGCTGCTAGCAACACAACAGATCCTTCAGCCACACCTCGCAGAACCTGCGATAGACTGTAGCTGAACTGCTAGGTTGGTATACGTTGGTATCATAAGCTTCCTGCTGCCAACTTGGCGAAGTTGCCATCAAGGCCTACGAGCTCGTCATAGTTGCCGGACTCAACGAGCTGGCCATCGGACAACACAAAGATCTTGTCAGAGTTCCGGATGGTTGAGAGCCGGTGTGCGACTGTGATGGTGGTCTTACCCTTTCGGGCCTCCTGCATGGCTTGCTGAACTTGTTTCTCTGCGGTGGAGTCTAAGGCCGAGGTTGCTTCGTCCAGCAGTAGGATGGCAGGGTTTCGGAGCAAGGCCCGGGCCAAAGCACAACGTTGCTTCTGGCCGCCTGACAGCCTCTCCCCCCGCAATCCCACGCGGTCCGTCCACTTCCACTTGCCCTTCCCCGAATTCCACGAGGCCGCGCCAGAGGCGCTTCCAGAGCCGTTGCTGGTGGCACTTGTCGAACTGTTCCCGGAGTCGGAGTCCGTGTCGGAGCCGGTTTTGAGCAGGAAGTCCATGTGTGCCGCCTTGGCAGCCGCCTGAAGTTGTTCCTCCGTGGCATCCCAGCAGCCGTACTTCACGTTCTCCTCCAAGGACACATCGAACAAGACTGGCTCCTGTGAGACCAAGCCCACCTGTCGCCTCCAAAAGGCAACGTTAAAGTCAGCCAAGGAGTTTCCTCCCACTAAGAGCTGTCCCTGTTGAGGGTCGTAGAATCGCATGAGCAGCTGGATGACCGTGCTCTTCCCGCTACCCGAAAACCCTACGAGGGCAACGGACTGGCCAGCAGAGATCTTGAAGCTTAGGGACTTCAGCACAATCTCTGGACGGTGCGGGTACCAGAAGGTCACGTTCTTGAACTTAATCGACCCATCCCCAATGCTCTCGATGCGCCCTGTGGGCTGCGTTGCGTCAATCTTAGAGACCTGGTCGACCAGCTTGAAGACTTCCACTGCCGCATTCCGGCCCGAGGCGGCATCTGGAATGTGCTGCACAATGGAGGTAACCTGCGAGAGACATGTGCCTAAATATTGAAACTCAGTAGTGTTTTCTATGAATCACAGGAGTATATCCTTTGAGAATCTCTGCGCAGCTATAATTGGAAGCTGCTTGAACCTGGCCCTGGCCACAGGACACTCTTGGCATCAAGCTTTGGATAGCCAAGGCACCGACATCACGCCGAACACCACACAGAAGAGCGTCATCAGCACTTCGCCAGCATCAAACCCCCAGAACTGAATGCAGATAGCGCTCATCCAAAAGCCTGCTAGCAAGATCACCTGGACAAGACCCAAGTTCAAGCCCATGGAAAGACCAAGCTTCCATGACCTCGATTCATTCAGCTTTGTCAGCTTCTCCAAGTTCTCGCTCACGATCTCAAGGGTCCGCTCTTCGGCCCCCAAGGCCTTCACGGTACGAATGGATGTGACGGCCTCTGAGGTGGCTTTTCCGGCTTTGCTGTAGGCTTCCAACCTGGCAGAGTCCATGCCGGCCACACGCGCCGCAACCGTCAGAGCCAGGACTCCGAAGATCGGCAGAAGCCCGAAGAGGACCAAGGCCAGCTCCCAGCAACCGAACATGCTGAAGACAATGCCTGGGGTTGCTGTTAAGGAACTTCAATTAAGTTACTATCTTGAGGAAACCCTAGTAGCTAGTTACTATACACCCATAATCTGGTAACTTAGATTAGGCTCCTGAAATCCCTATATCCCCCCAGTGTCCATTTCATGTTCCATCTTATTTGCCATTTGATTCTCCACTATAGGGGGATAATATGGTAACTTAAAATAAGCTCCTTAACAGCAACCCAGATGCTGAGGATGCAAGTGGACAAGGCAGCGGCTGAGTTTCCCAGCTGAATGCCAAGCATCTGCCCGACTCGACTCATGTGCCTCTCCAAGGACACCAGTCCCTCTCGAACCCATTATAGTAGTTTCCATTTTCTTTTCCATTCTTCCTACATAACCCCAATATATGTATATATATATATCCAGTATATATATATATATGCCCTATATTGCCAATATAACCCCTATATAATCCGTGCCTCTCCAAGGACACCAGGATGCTGGCAGTCTGGTTTTCGGGCTTGTCAAAGAAGGACATGTCCATGCGAACAGTGCTTGCGAAAGCTGCTTTGCGCAGAATCATGCAGAGGCTCTCCTGTACAAAGGAGAACATGTAGTAGTTTCCCAAAATTAGGAGACCCCAATATAGACCCCAAAATTCCCACAATCCTTACTATAGGAACCCCCAAAAAGGTACCCCTAATTTTGGGAAATGCAGAGGCTCTCCTGTACAAAGGAGAACATGTAGTAGTTTCCATAACTCCATTATCCCTAAACCCTAAACCCTAAACCCTAAAAGGGAACCCATAAATTAGGGAAACCCCCATATAACCCCTATATTACGCTATACTATCCCCCCCTTGCTCTCCTGTACAAAGGAGAACAGCGAGTTCTGGCAGAGCACAGCCACTCCTGATGCCAGGCCGACCAAAGCAAGGCCTATGACGGCCTTGTCCAGCTTCACATACATTGCCTGGGTTTAGGGTTTAGGGTTTAGGGTTTAGGGTTTGGGGTTTAGGGTTTAGGGTTTAGGGTTTGGGGTTTAGGGTTTAGGGTTTAGGGTTAGCTTCACATACATTGCCTGGCTGGATAAAAC